TTTTTTTTTATCAGACAATATACTTGATTGAAATTTACATGCACAAAAAAGGATATACTACCATAGTTGTAGGAACTTTGACAACCGTTTCCCCCCAAATTGTTCTTTTACGTACAACGTGTGTTTGATAGGTGAAAATACTGTTCTATGTATACCTGTACACTGTAGTATATAGATAGGCCTACACTGTACAGTGGGGGAAGCCTAATGCCAGAGATGTGTGCGCTTGCTGTCTTACGCTCTCTATTTCCTATTAATTAACAAATGTCGCAACCAAACCACGTTATTAACTTCTAAAATGTATAACCTTACTTAAGCTTTGTTTCAGCCTCTTTCCCAATCATTCATATGTAATAATTAAAGGAAGCATCTAATCATTAGTTAAGTCATTTTATTTCAAGTTTGTATAAACAAATTTTAAGGATGAATACCTATATATTTATAAACTCAACAATTTATCAATCAATTCCTTATCAACAAGATTTTTGAAAATGCTCTTAACTGAAACAAAAAATGATGCTTAAAACAAATTAAAATTAAAGATATATATATCTTAATCTCAATAAAATGGATGATAAATATCAAACAAATAAATAAACTGATAATACTAAAATTGATTAAAAAGATAAGTAAATTAATTATTGTCGCTCTGCGAACCCGACCTTTGTTAATCTGGATAAGTAATGAACTTACAATGGAGAGATTTCACTTTATGCACAATGATTTTTGTACTCATGGATAACGGTACACCATCTAACGAAGAAATGATTGTCCTCTGTTATTTTTTTAGATGAATGTTATTAGCGAAGCATCTAACTTTACAGACGAGAAAAGTACAATAGGGTCATGGTCTATGTGAATTAGAATCATCTGAAATCAACATGGTAGAAAAATGCACTTTTCCCCGTCTCCTTTCGCGTCAATTAGCCATTTTCGCAGGCTCACTCAAGCTATGTCTTATGATACGAAGTGGTGGTACGAAACTGTGGCGTTCGTGGCTTAGGAATGGAAATTTTCCTCTTAATAAACGTTGCACTTTTTATCTGCATTCATTGTGGAGCCTGCTGGACAGCTAAATGCCTGCACGAACTCATCCAACTGTGCTAAAGCCGTGTTCACTCTGCAAATAATACGGGATTCATGTTAGAAATTCCTGTCACATATAATGAACATATTACCCGTCATATACATGTATACGATCTCAAAACATTCAAACAAGGGTGGCAATTAAAAATGCTTATATCTGTTCTTCAGGTATCGCACTGTCTACAATGTTGTAATACATGTACATTTGTTTGTTTGTTAAAACTCACTTGAAACTCTCTGGATAACTGCCCTGCATTGCCTGGGAGTATCCGTACCCCTCGTTCCTGTTGAAACAGTTTGTCTAAAAGATAGGGAATAACGTATTATTTGCCGTACTAATTTATTTAGGAAATTATTAAATGAAGAATTATGCTTTCCTACCGACACCCCCCTCCAACTACATATACTATAGAAACTGGAATTATAACAATACAAAAGGTACAAATCATTCCCTTCTTAAAAACTTTAAAATCTTATCAACATAATATTCTTGCAAACAGGTGGTCTTGTCGTGTGGCAGCACCGATTCTCTATTTACCTGTGCGTAACTGATGAAGAAGGCCTGCTCGTTATTTTTATTCAGTCCCGGGACTTGCTTCTCCGCTCCATTCTGAGAGACCCAATCTTTGTACGCCTAAAACGAAACAAAAATAATGAATAAACAGGACAAGACAACATTTATCAGGTCAAATTCTAAGCGCCCATCATAATAAGCAAAGGATTTCATTACTGGTCTACTCTTCTGACATTTCAGATTTATGCATTGGTAGGGTGCGCTTACATAACTTCGTCATTTGAAAGTTATTCAATTCTTTACAACAAAACGAAAAAGACCAATATATTTTCTGAAGAACTATAAAAACTCAGAGAACGAAGTTTTCTATAAAGGCAGCTCTGTTCAAATCACCATTAACTAGATGCACTTCAATTGACAGAAGACCACAACAATCTAATTGATAATAAGTTTAAAAATCCATTTCTGACCTATCCAGAAAAATTTATCAAAAATCCGACCAAAACATTTTTGAGTTAAAGTGTCAACGAATAAACTAATTTAGGCAAAAACATAACCTAGGAGCTAGTAAAGATAATAATGGAAAGTAAAATCAGGACAAGTGTTGTCTGTTCACTTACATAATAGGCCATACGCACTCCTGCTGTTTCCGTCAGCCCTTCAAATGCATACCGTCTGGCATTAATTGGAACTTTCCTCTGGAAAAAAGAAGGCAAAACAAGAACTGAAAAATCAAACTTGGATTCAACAAAATGTGACGCATTTCATCTCTTTCCAAACTTACCGTCCTTATACATTACTAACAATTGAAAAACAAATCGGGCTCGAATAAAAAATATTTTCGTGCAAGTGAATTCATTGCTAAATATATATATGAGCACATACACACGCACACACACACATTTGTTTTTCTCACCGTTTCCACCGTGCCCTCACTGTTTGGTATTCTGAAGCCCACAGTCATATTAGTATAGTAGTCGGACACGCAGCGTTTGCTTTTCAAATAATCTACAGTAGTTTTATTACTCCACCAGTCAAATACAGTACCATTCTTCAGGAAATAGCCACCTGGTGGGAAAGGGGGTGTAAAAAGTGAAATTTATAATATTTTTCCTGATGGTACTTGCTTTAAGGTGTTTTTTAAAGAAAATGTGCCCAACACAGACAGATGAACAGTCCCTCTACGAACGTTATTTGTTTATTTTATTTTAAAAATACAACATTTCAACCTATCTTCTTCCTTACAGGAAAGCTATATTATTACCATTCGACATGAGGACATGAAATGTATTAGAATAATATAAACCAAATATCCTGCAATCCAAAGATACTAGTAGACCGTATACTTGCCATACTCATCGATGCCGTGCATTAGTTCGTGTGCGACAATGGAACCCATGGCGCCAAAGCGCGCGTGCTGGGGCATAATTCTGGTATAGATAGGGAACTGAAACAACCCTGCCGGGACGATGATCTCGTTCCAAGGATTGTACATGTGGGCTACCACGTCATAGGTGTTATAGCGCCATTTAGTCTTGTCCTGCCCTCTTACCAACTGGTTTGTCCAGTCATTTTTCTCAAAAGCGTTCATGCTCAGGATGTTGGCGAAGTAGTTCGTTGCATTGATTTTCAACTGGAAAATAACGAGTTTGTTTTGACTTCCCGTACGTACTAAAACATCAGAACGCGTGGTCAGTTTGTAAATATGAGACTTTCGAAAAGAAAAAAAAGGTATGCTACTCACAGAATCATACTTCCTGTCCAGGTAGTCGTGACTGACAGCAGCCGTGTCGTAGGCAATTTTGTCCACCACTGATTGCATCTGTAAAACAAAAGACAAATTCATGGCGCAAATAAATTATTTCCCTCTCAGTTTATGTATAAATGTCTTTGTTTATGTATATTCATGAACAAATACGCTCTTTCTTACTTTGGAAAATTAGAAATAATAAATTGTACCTTCGAACTTGCATATTTTTTAGTCGATGCATCCATCCATGTCGCCTGCTGAATGCGAGTCGCAATGGTTTGCTTCAGTCGAGAGACTATTGCGTCAACCTGGGGATGTAGATTATGTGCGGAAAAGTATTTATCATTTCAGTAGAACTGTTCTGTAAAAATAAACACTTTCCTCCTTTGTTAAAATCGTGCCGTTGGAAATTTAGAAAGAAAATTCCTTGAAATTAAGTTTTGGAGGTGTTTGGGAAGAATTACATTAAAATAATTCAACAGGTATATTTTGAAAATTTACACATCAAAAGTGATAATATGTGAAAAATAAACGAAAGATGTTGTTCAGTTTTATCCCCTTAACAGTGCTCGTGCCAAAAATGATAGGCCTATATTGCGATTTGATTACTAACGGACAGAATCTGCTAGAAAATATCAACTAACGCAGCAAGTTTGTTTGGCAGTATATTAAGAGGACATTATGCGCGGCATCGAAGGTGGCATGAGCAACACTACACATGGCATAAAAAGGTGGTCAAAATATATACAGAACAAACAGAGATCACTTACAACAACTGAAAAGTTAAAGCATAATCATCAAAACAACCATACCTCGCTTTTGGCATTATCAGCAAAATGGTCTTGAACAAACAGTGCCCCGAGAGCATCCGGCATCTTACTCTTCATGTAGTTAAAACAGAACCGATATGTCCCCAAGAACTGTGCCCTGCCTGTCCTAGCTACGTAGAACTCTCTATTGGCATGGACGTATTCCCAAGACAAGTCCTGGGCATATGCCTGCATCAGGCGCCACATCAGGTAATTATTCAGCACTCTGAAACAATATTTAGATTTGGAATTATAGTTAAAATTATTTGTTTTTCAGAAGAAATGCAAATTGGGTACTTTTAAGTGAAAAATTCATAAGACCAGTATGTGGAGCGTTGAGGATACACGTGAGAGTTTTGGAGGGTTTTTTATTTCAAATTCTGAGAAAATATAGCTTCAGCTCTGCTTTGGCTTTTCGGTGTTCAAAATTAGCATTTTCACGAGAAATTATAATGGCATAACACCTTATTTTCTTGTTTCTACCCAAAGTTTTCTTAAAAACATGCATACATGTACTTATAAGAGCATTTATGGATTTAATAACTTGATATAGAGGTCGAGTGCGATGACACTACTTGCACTTGCTTTCTGTTTGGCTATTTCTTTTTATCGAGACAACATCCACGTATACTCATCTATAGTCTATGACGCAAATGAACATTCGACACACGTCATACAGATCAAGGAATTAGTCTAATACATTCCTTGTGATGAATTGTCACCATGTGCGACGCCATGATTTTGATAACAGACGGGTATTCTCCTAAGGGTTGTACCTGATTACTTTGCTCATTATTTCAATCATTATCTTTTAATATTGAGAATCCTATCTTGCGATGCGAGCTACACGGGGGGTAGCGTCTGTTACTGTGCTTATGTGAGGCAATGCTGTCAGAGGTTAAGAAGTAAGACTTTTTGAAAATGTATAGCTTATTTTGCACAAAAATTATGTTTTTACTTTGCCCATGTAAAATTTATGTCGTTAAGTACGTAAAAATGATACATGAATGCGTTTCATAAATGATACGGTATTCTTAGGCAATACCCTACCTTGTCTTCGTATTAGGGTCCCAGTTTTTAATCATATTGCTCATCTTCTGGAGGTAGTCAGCCTCTAAGAGCACGACATACGTGTCTCCGTTCACATTATTACTACCAAACATGTACTGGAAGAAACTGACCCAGTTCACCTGTAGATATAATAAAAGATAAATTATAAATTGTAAACAGGTGAAGCAGCATCACACTTTCTAAGTCTCTCACTCACTCTCTCTCTCTCTCTCTCGTTTGGTTTGAACCCGTGTTATATCTTTTGCCTTAATTTGTCCCTTGACTCGTTACCATTTCTGCACGACAAAAAATCTTACCTGGTCAGCTACTGTATTGAGTTCTGAGATTTTCTTCCTGTTTCCGGGAGCGTGAGGGTCTGGGGAAGGCTGGGTATAGGCTGTTACCTGCAAATTAGAAGAAAGGTGCAGGTAAACAAAAGTGTAGCTATCTATGTGGATGGTAGGCTCAGGATCGCCTGGGCCCCTCTCCCTTTGAACTTGCTTCTGTTCATGGACATGCCATTGGAAAATAAACGAAATTACAAAATATGTCGGAAAAAATCAATCCACGATCTTTTCTTTTTTCATTGTTTTGTAAAACTATCCTTTACTTCAAGGATGCCTTGGTTGTTCAATATTACAAATACCACTTAATTGGCTTATACCATGCCAGTGGGACCAGTCAACGATATAATCTTTATATTATAACTACAACCATATTATCACTATTTTCAAATTATCAAATTTGGTTAATTTTCTATGATAATGCAAAGCCCGTACTTACATTGGCTAACTGGTACTCAAATTGATAAGCGTCGTTAACAAACTGTTCGATGTTGATCTTCACTGTGTTGTCTGTGGGGTTCATAGCATTATCTCTCACCATGTAGCCGGCAACTGTTCTCATGAAACCCTTGTATGCATCTTGTACCTAAGTAACGAGGGAATGGATTTTAGAAACATCTCTCTCTCTCTCTCTCTCTGTGTGTGTTTATTTTCCCTCTTAGTATGTGTAAAAATATAGCAAATGTAAATGTGTTTCCTTGATTGAATGCTTATTGTTAATAAGTGCGTTGAAGTGATAACTCTCTCTACCCTATATAGATATGTCAACAAATTATCTGTCCTCAAACATCGACGACCATCCCTAATCCACATTTATTATGAACATGCAAATCCTAAATTCCTTTTTTTTCATTCAATTCAACTTTAAACCCGTACTAATAGGACATCGCATATAACTCAATTAATATACACAATCCTCTGTCGTTTCTTGTTTTCTGTAATGCGTTTATGTTTGTATTGCATGTATATACTGTATTTTACAAGTAACTGATTGAAGACATGGTTTGTCTAAACTACAGTGCTGATAACACACAAGGACTGCTTAATTTTGACGCATAAACGTAACCAAAATCTAAGATACTACTAGCTTTCACATTTAATACACACACACACACACGCACGCTCACGCAAGCATACGCACAAATACACACGCACACACACGAGCGCGTACGCACACATTTATATCCTCCCATTTTCAATGACCTCTGCTGGAAGAACTCTCACCTTAGCTGCATATGAAGATGTAGAAATGTAGTATCCCCAGTACATGCCAAGACCACTATAGTCAATCTAAAAAAAAGGATGATACTATATATACAAATTGCAGTTATCTAGATATATTTCAAAACCTTATTATACACGAACACATTGAATGCTGTGTGACACTTAAGCTGATAACGATTCCAGGAGGGGTTTGCAAGGGGG